GAAATAGAGGTAATATCCAAGGAAACAATGAAGCCATGTTCTCCAACCCCAGATGAAGTTTGGCATTCTAGCCTTTCATATCTTGATCAATTTTCATACCCCTAGTGTATTTTTACCCTGCCAGCCACCAGTATTCAAACATAGAAGGTTTACACCGGGTAAAAAGAAATCCTTATCCAAGGCCTTCACCAAATTTTACCCTCTAGCAGGGCGTGTCGTGAACAACCTTTATGTCAACTGCAACAACGAGGGCGTTCAAATGTAAGCCCTCTTATATCACTAAAAATCCAATTACTAAAGAATTCAACAAGTTCATTCCTTGCGAGTTGGATGGTGTCAAAGATCTTGGCTTAGTAGTACAAGCAAACTTTTTCGAATGCGGAGGAATGGCTATTGGTATAGTTATTTCTCACAAGCTAGCTGATGCTGTGTCATGTTTCACGAGGAGATGATGATCCGTAATTCGACAGTACAAGATGCTCTTTTTATAGGATTCTAGCTTTATCGGCTTTTATATGGAGCCGTTTCAGGGAGACGGTTCATGCTGAAAAGGATCCAAACAAGATTTACGCAGTGACATATTCAGTGAACTTACATAGACGATATATAAGACAAACTGATCCACCACTGCCTGAATCTTTATTGGGAAACATAATACAATCTGCACTTGTAGTACCATTCTTCGATTAGGGTAATGAAGAAGAAGCTTTTAAGTTTATCAACAAAGTGATAGAAGCTATGCAGGAAAATAGGTATTTGATCACCGCAAGTTTGAAAAATCTAGCCAAGTGACTTTTTAATTGATATATTCATAGATAAGTGAATTTTACATTACAAACATAAGAAACATGATTTTACTAGATAAATCTGGATAGGTAAGTAAACATATGAGTAATGTACTTCATGTTCTATGTTCAAGGACCTAGTTCAATCAGAATCGAGAACTGCGGAGAGGTTCTAACCGGCCTAGCCTAACCAACCGCTACAAGCGGGCAGGAAATAGATGTGGTGGAGACTCAAGTCAAGGCAATGGATCACTATCACTATAGATAGATGCTTTCCCTGGACTGTGTTCAATGGCACCTGATATGCCAACAAGGGCTTACTAAGAGATCTTGCATGTTTTATAGGGTGCTTCTTATGTCTTTCCATAAGCAGAAGTATGAGTAGAGCTGCTCTTCCNGAAACAATATGCAAAAGTTTACCGGAAAAAGGCAAGAAAAAGGAGAACTAAGGATCGCGAAGTAAGAGTCTTGGACTAGTGGAGAATATTATTTAGGAGATTACAAATAAAAAAGGATAAAGGGCAGCCTGGTGCACTAAGCTTCCGCTATGCGTGGGGTCCGGGGAAGCGCTGGACCACAAGAATCTATTGTACGCAGCTTTACCCTGCATTTCTATTAGAGGCTATTTCCATGGCTCTAGTACTAGATAAAATACTAGATCAAATCACAAGTGTTTCTAAGCTGAAAACTCCCAATTATAGATTTTCAAGTGCTTCCAGGCTGAAAACTCCCAATTTTAGATTTTTTACTTGTTTTTTTTTAATAGCAAATGTTTTTAAACATTTTTGGTATTTGTCAAACAACAAAACAAGTCAAAAAGTGCACCTTGTGCTGTATGCAGCATATGATCAAATAACCTCAGACGCCATTTTACGAGCATCCTTTATTAAGTGTTATCATTTCTAATTTTGTCCAACAAATGCACAATATTTCAAATAGCGTTATTGGTCTCAACTTACATTTCACTTAATTAGTATCTCCTTTTCACATAGTTTCTGTTAACACTAGTTTATTTCGACCATCCTATTCTAATTCAGCGCTACCTCTTAATTAATCTACTATGCATTCTCCTTAATTAAAACACTGAATGTAAATATTTTAATTGTTTAGATTTATACACCACAATTGCGGAATCTAACTTCACTTTCATCTGGGGGAATAAACTTGTCATGCATTTATTCTTACATCTACTTATTCCAAAATCTTTACTCGCTAGTGCTTCTCCACGGTCCTCACCCGCTAGTATCTTTTAGTTACAATATCACCTAATTCACAATATTTTGTCATAGTTATATGATACCTGAGTGCTCAGGAATTTGAAAACGCATCTTGAATCCTTTTGCAGTCAACCAAATAAGTGAAACCATAAGCTAAGTTCTTCAGTGTAGCATCATGCAATTCTGCTGAGGAAGTAGCAGTAGCATCTGTGGAAAAGAAGACTCTGAACCCTCTCACAAAGGCCTCTCTGGCTGTAGTCTCACAACACAAGTTGGTCATTACTCCACTCACTATTACCTCCGTTATCCCCATCTCCAACAGTTTCTCCTCTAGGCTTGTATCTGAAAATGTTTGTCACTAGAAATTAGTAGCATTACTATAGTTTCAGGAACAAAAAAGAAGTGATTCTTAAGGATCCGTTCTCGATATTAATTTTTTCATAACCAAGAAATCTCCTAGGATTAGTGGCGCACGGTTCGAAATTCGGTGGATAAACGGGTCTGACCCTCTACCTTTCTCCACTTGAATTCCACGGTTTGTCTGTGGGGTTTGAACGTTTTGCACTGTTACCATGAGACTAATCCCAGGGGGGTTGTTCTTCATATTAACTTTCTGGGGGGAAGTAGGGAGTGGGGTGAAAGTGGCCGTGCCACTTGAAGCAGCCCCAATCTTGCATGTTCCCTGTTCTTTATTATATAAAAGAATGATGTTATTTCACTTGGATACTTGTTGTCTCCCACCAGCAGAGTAAACAAATATTGCGAATATATATATATAATTTGAAATTAAAGCAGAATTGACTGTTAATTAGTTGATAGGAAAAGAGTGTATAATTGCTCAACACAAAACCATCAGATTAACTTTTGTCCATGTCACATAATTTAGTTACATTGATAAGTTCCATACTATAATAACAACCTTACTAAATACCATAAGTTATAATGTCAGTTCAGTTCATCACCCGTAACAAATGGTTAAATTGAACAAAAAGGAACCTCGGAGCCCCAAAAAACCTTCCGCATAACACTCTGAATCGTATTGTTCCCAAAAAAAGACATATTGTATATTTAGAAATCATTTAATTTTTGTTAAAGAATGAATAGTCATATTTCTTGTACTATACATAGATAGCACAATCATAGGGATTGATAATAAATCTGTAGGATTTTCCTCTTTATTTCTTTCCATAGTTAGGATTCTCTGTATAGCCTCTTTATTCCTTTCCATAGTTAGGACTCCCTGTGCAACTATATATGTTTGTTACTCCATGGAATAATACATCAACTATTCTCCTATACCTTGTTTATTACATGGTATCAGAGCCACTATAGCTCAAAACTTTGCTGGGAAAATCAAGTCCCTTATCTGTATTAGGAGAGAGGGTTCAGTCTCGTTTTGGGTCACCCCTGGGAGTGATTGGTTTGTCTCACATTCACCATATAAGGAGGTGGAAGAAGATTTTCGGTCTAGAGACAGCATCTCCGGGGACTGTGTTGCCAGAGCGTGATCTCACGCGCCACTTGAAGTTAGCGATTGTTCACCAAACACCGGCTTGTGGAAGCACATGAACTGGCAGCAACAAAGCTTGTTCAACAGTGTAGATTCATCTTCTCCATTTCGACAATTCTTGGTATTATTCTGGTAACTCAGTTATTGGGAGAGATCTGTGGCTCCTTTATGTCGGCCTATACCAAGTTTTGTCCTTCCATTTCTATCCGCAATTTACTTTGACCAAATTTAAGTACCTCAAATTTGTCATTTCAGTTCTGTTAAATTTTGAGGCTCGATAAATTTTGGTTTTTATACTTCTGTTACTATTACGGTTTCTACTGGAGTTACTAATGAATTCTCTTTTCTTGTTTTTTTTTTTTGTTTTTTTTCTTGTTTTTTATTTTATTTTCGTCTTTCTGAGCCGAGGGTCTATCGGAAACAGTATCTCTGCCCCTATGTCTGCGTACACATTACCTCCCCAGACCCCACTATGTGGGATTTTACTGGGTAGTTGTTGTTGATAGTGTGTTGGGACTTCTGTATATTGGACTTCTTGGTTAGAGTGGTGCTTCTGTTTTTTCTGGTTGTGGTCAGATTTGTGAAACTACTTTTGTGCACTGATTTCGTGGACTATTATTATTGGTGAGGCTGCTGGGATTCTGTTGGTTTTGTCAATTTACTGTTGGATAGTTAACTCACGGCTAATATTTGTACAGCTCCTAGTCCAACAATATTGATTTCAAATGAGTTTCTGAAATTTCTTCAATATCATAATCAATTATGGAATCTTCAGTCACTGAGTTTGTTGGGTCAGATAAAACATGTATTATCAGCTCTTCAAATAAATGGGTGATTGATTCAGGTGCCACAAATCACATAACAGGTAATCCAAAGATTTTTTCTAGCTTTTGGTCACACAAAGCACGCTCTCTAGTTACTGTAACTGATGAATCAACTACTAGTAATGTTGGATCTGGAACTGTTAAAGCAACTTCTTCTATTACTCTGTCATCTGTATTAAGTCTACCTAACTTAGCCTTTAATTTGATTTTTGTTAGTAAAATCACTAAAGACCTTAATTGTTGTGTCGCGTTCTTTCCCAATCATTGTCTGTTTCTAGATCTTACAACAAGCAGGTTATTGGTAAAGATATTTATCTAGTGATCTCTACATCCTTGATGAGTGGGAGCCATGGCCTGCTGCATGCTCCAGTGTTGTATCTCCTTTTGAAGCACATTGTCGATTAGGACATCCCTCTCTACCTTTGTTGAAGAAGCTCTGTCCTCAGTTTTAGAATATTTCTTCATTGGATTGTGAGTCATGTCGATTTGCAAAATACCATCGCATCTCGTTAGGTCCAAGGGTTAATAAGTGAGTTGAGTCAGCTTTTGAGTTAGGTCATTCTGATGTTTGGGGACAATATTCTATTGTTTCCAAAATTGAGCATAAGCATTTTGTCACTTTTGTACATGATTTTTCTCGAATGACTTGGATTTACTTTATGAAGAGTCGCTCTGAAGTGTTTACTCACTTTTTTGTCTTCTATGCTGAAGTTAAAACTCAATTCAATGCTTCCGTACATATTCTAAGGAGTGATAACACTAAAGAATACGTATTAGAGTTATTTCAGTCCTACATGAGACAACATGGTATACTACATCAGTCTTCATATGTTGATACACCCTCTCAAAATGGAGTTGTTGAGAGGAAGAATAGGCATTTGCTTGAGACAGCTCGGGCAATTTTGTTCCACATGAAGGTTCCTAAACAATTATAGGCTGATGCAGTCTCTATAGCTTGTTTTCTCATTAATCGCACACTATCTACTATGCTTGGTGGTGATGTGCCTTACAGTGTTCTCTTCCCAAACAAGTCATTATTTCCGCTAGAACTTAAGGTGTTTGGATGCACATGTTATGTTCGAGATGTTCGACCATCTATTACCAAGTTGGATCCCAAGGCATTGAAGTGTGTTTTCTTGGGCTATTCTCGCCTCCAGAAGGGGTTCCGGTGTTATTCTACTAAACTTAGCAAATATCTGGTGTCAACCGATGTGGTATTTTCAAAGACGACACCATTCTTCTATGCAACTCCCAATTCTACAAGTCAAGGTGAGGAAGATGAGTGGCTAGTATATCAGGTTACCCGTGCTTTGACAGAACAACCAGATGATGTTCCTCCTTTTCCTAGTTCTTCTATTGAGCACCAATTGACTATTGTGCCTTCAGCACCTGCTCCAACTGTGTTAGAAAGACTGCCATTGTTCAAGTTTACTCGCGGAGGCGAGAGACGAATGATATATGTCCTGCAACAATTCCTTCGTCATTAGACTGTCCTCCACTTGATCCTACAGAAAACCTTGACCTTCCTATTACTCTTCGCAAAGGTATACGTACTTGCAAATTCACATATTCTATTGCTAATTTCGTTTCTCGTTTATCCTCTACGTCTAGATCTATGATTGCTTCTTTAGACTCCATCTTGGCACCTAAAACAGTGAAGGAGGCTTTGAACCATCCTGAATGATCTGATGCAATGCTTGAGGAAATACATGCCTTAGAGGGTAACCACACGTGAGATTTGGTGGATTTACCCAAGGGAAAGAAACTAGTGGGATGTAAGTGGGTCTTCACCGTTAAAGTTAATCCATATGGTTCTGTGACAAGACTTAAGGCTAGACTTATGGCTAAAGGGTATGCTCAAACTTATGGGGTTGATTATTCAGACACCTTCTCCCCGGTTGCCAAACTCACTTCTATCTGCTTATTTATTTCTTTAGTTGCTTCCAAGAATTACATCAGCTAGATATCAAGAATGCGTTCCTTGAAAATTGAATATAAATCACACGAGTGGAAAGATATTAACCAAGCCGCGACTGGGACTCAAGAATAAAATCTATAGAAAATTGAATATTCAAAAAGATAAATCTAAATCATACGAAAGGAAACATATTCAATACATTGTAGTTTACTACTCATAATTGCTACAATACCTTGTGTCTTAGTTTGCTAGTGAATATGCTGGAAATAATTTAGTTTAAATAGGAGTAGCATAATAGGTTTGAGAATTAAGATTTTGAGTTTAATTACTTGTTGGCTTGTAACTGTTTTCATAATTCCAAGACCCAAAGAAATATTTAATGCCTTACTGACATTTAAACTTAATATATAAATATATTTTTCACATGTAAATTTATTCGGTATGGTTCGGTATTTTTTCGGTTTATTTTCATAAAATAAAAACTTATCCTAATTATCGATACGGTTATATATTTATATAAAAATCTACAATTTTATTAGAAGAAACCTAAAAATCGATTCAGTACGGTTCGGTCGGTTTAATCGATTTTTATATATCCATTGACATCCCTAGCAGAATCTGAATACAGAGCTATGTCACAGTCTACGTGTGAGATTATGTGGATACATCATCTTATGACTGAAATTGGGTTGGAGCATCCAATACCAGCAAAACTCTGGTGCGACAATCAAGCTGCCCTCCATATTGCGTCAATCCGGTGTATCATGAAAGAACTAAGCATATTGAAGTTGACTGTCATTCTATTCGTGAGAAGATTCAGGAAAACTTGATCTCCACTGGCTATGTGAAGACAGGAGAGCAACCAGCTGATTTGTTCACAAAGGCGTTGAATGGAACTCGAGTAGATTATCTTTGCAACAAGCTGGGCATGATCAATGTCTATGCTCCAGCTTGAGGGGAGTGTTAAAGAATGAATGTAGTCATATTCCTTGTACTATATATAGATAGCATAATCAATCATAGGGATTGATTATAAATCTGTAAGATGTTCCTCTTTATTTCTTTCCATAGTTAGAATTCTTTGTATAGCCTCTTTATTCCTTTCCATAGTTAGGACTCCCTGTACAACTATATATGTTTGTTACTCCATGAAATAATACATGAACTATTATTTTAGGAGAAAGGCAAGAAAAAGGAGAACTAAGGATTGTGAAGTAAGAGTCTTGGACTAGGGGAGAATATCATTTAGGAGATTATAAATAAAAAAGGATAAAGGGCAGGCTCCCACTATGCGTGTGAGCTTAGTATCTGTGGTCGAGCGCTTCCTCGGACGCCGCGCATAGCGGGAGCTTAGTGCACCGGGCTGCCCTTTATCCTTTTTTATTTGTAATCTCCTAAATAATATTCTCCACTAGTCCAAGACTCTTCACGATCCTTAGTTCTCCTTTTTCTTGCCTTCATCAATTATAATTTTAAATTGTTCATTTTACTCTAATTTATTATTTATAGCTACACAAATATATGTGATTTGTGTTGGACCATTCTGTACACGAAAAAACGCCCTCACATAAGCTGAAATGGAAATGGAAGGGGTAGGAAATTACCTCTGAAGGCACTATAAGTGTGCTTTTCTACCACCAAGTCAGCATCTCTCCGGTTCAACTCCGGTATGAGTTCAGCTTCAATGGTGCCATCTCTGATGACGTCTCCGTTCCACCACTCGTAGAGCATGCCGTAGTCATCCGGTGACTTGTGACGGTGGCGCGTGAATATCACAGGCACGGAAGCCTGTCGGCAGAGGTCGATGGTGGTGTTGATAGCGGGGAGAATAGGCTTGGCCATGGAGTAGAAGTGGTTCTGTATGTCTATCACTAAAAGAACCGCAGATTTCGGGTCTGGATTTCGCTTTCGGGTTTCATATTTCCTGTATGATGAGGAAGCCATGGATAAAGATGCAGAGTGACGGGAATAGAGATTACGAGATTCCACCTGTTATTAGTCGTTTTCTATCACAACAGTAGGAGTAAATTTTGGACCTTGTGATTGTGACCACTCACCAACTAGTTGAGACACTGGTACGACCTTGGCCCTAGGATTGCTGGAAAAATAGTACGTAGTTAAATATTGTTTTTGTGACTCGAAATCATGGTAATTTCATGTCTTCTAATCATTCATTGAACTGAAGGTAATTGTTATAGTAGTAGCCAATAATGGATAAATTTAGCGAATTAGTGTTAACTCAAAATGGTTAAACAAACAGGAAATACTAGCATTTATACATTCTTTGCTCAAGGTGAAAAGAAATGTTATTGATCGTGAATCCTTTGATTTCGCGCACAAGATTATTGTAGCAGTCTAAACGATGAAGTAACTGGAATGACTTGTTATGCTAACAAGGTCAATGGCGCTATTACACTTCTTCAAATACGAATAGCATTGTCTCTTTCATCGATACGTAAACCCTTTCAATATTTGCTCTGTAATTGTTTAACATTGTAATCATCCCTGAATGTTGGTAACCAATACTCTCAACGCTTCGCTTGGAAGAAAAAAACTACTACCCACGTAATAATACTCGACGCACGACAGAGGTAGTGAACCAAAATCACACCCAGAACAGGGGGAAATATTTGTGCAAGATGACATTATAGAAATGTGACAATTAATGGGAAAATGAAAGGATCCCACGGACGGGCAGATTATTAGCCATTTGGTTTACACAAAAAAATTGCTATAGCAATACAAAAGGAGCAATGATAGGGAATATCACAGATTTGGATTGTGAGTTTGCTTTGGTCCAAAAACATGCTGTTAACATAAATTGCATTACTGCAACGTCCTGTCATAACATGAAAATTAGGACCTAATAACAGTGAATTCTAAAATGTCAACATTATAAACCCTTCTGCAGTTTCTTCTCCGTTCCTGGATAAACAAGTATATCCATCAAATTTCTCTTTGTTATTATCTTCCATGGGTAATGGTGGATAACCGGACATCATTTAGCATGTCCACGAACAAGCAAACAAAAAAGTTTCCAAATGAAAATGTCATGCCACAGGCCTACACAAGACCCCTCTGTTTGAACACATCGAGCATTGAGGCTCCAATTTTTGCAGGAGATTCGCACACTGTAACACCAGCTTCCTTTAGTGCCTTGATTTTGTCTTGGGCTGTTCCCTTTCCCCCTGATACAATAGCTGCACTTCCAAAAAGATCAGAATTAAACAATTACTCTAGGCATGACAGCAGGTAATATGACACATCTTTTTATAGCTCATGCAATTTCATTCATCATCATGATTCATGATAATGCAGCAAAGCAAACTCAGTATAGATCAGAATAACACAGCAGAAAAGCGGCCATACCCGTTCCTAATAAACTCAAGAGATAAGAAAAAGACTAGCTTGAATGGGCAGATAAAAAGAGAGCAGAGCCAGGTTGTGCAATAGTATCCCTAGTACTTCCGAATATCAATAACCAACAGATTGTTCTCACGAGTATCGACAAGAAACAGTTTGGATCTATTTTTTAATTTTCTCCCATTATTTTTTGGTTTAAGGGGCATGGGAATGGAAGGCATAGTTCAGAATTAACATAGAATCAACCCATTATACGATTTTGACCAATGAGGAATTCTCCCATAAGACTGTTTTGTATGTAACCAAAATCAAATTTAATCAGTTCCCAGATCAATGTAACTATCAATATCAAAGGTTACAGAGTCAAAATATTTAATGCATGCAAGTTGTTGGCCAACAAAGTACCTCCAGCATGACCCATTCGCCGTCCAGGAGGAGCTGTCAATCCAGCAATAAAAGCAACTACAGGCTTTTGAGTTCCACTTTCCTGTTTCAGGAGCAAAATACATAAAACCGCACAAATCCTATGAATACAAATATTATTCAGCTCAGCTTAAAATGCTATTAAACCCAGAGACATGGCAAGAACTGGATGTTAAGAAATTCTAGCATAATAATCAGCCAAAGATTCTGAACATCCTCTCTAAAATACGAGAAGCTAACAGAGTATCTTCTTCTTATGCTCCAGCAGCCACATCATTAACTTTCTCGTAATTCTCATACAAGGGAATGATAGAGCAGTGCATACAGTTGCAGGATCAAAAGCTTAAAATTATTGGTTTGATCCCTGTTAGACAATCTAGGGCAAATTAAGGGTGTAGAGGATTGAACCATAAGCTTATACGTGGAAAGGAAATCAAAATGATGAACCAAGAAAAGTTATTCAACAAAAGAGCCAGTCAAAGAAGGCACAAATACATCTGGGCTTAAGAATGTTCTCTTTGCACAGGTTGAATCCAAAAACATAATGGTGTGGGTCTGGAGGTACTTTAGGCCTTTCAAAAAGCACAATAAAAAGGAAGCAGATAGAAACGTGGAGATTCCAATCGGAAGTGAGATAGCAAATCTTCAGTCACAAGATAAATGAGTTCACTGGTAAGGTATTCCAAGTTGTGCAAGGGACACCTAAAACGAGGGGATATTTTTATTTAAACCACAGTTGAAAAGATAATAGAAAGAAGTGTGTACTTTTGGTGTATGGCAAGATGTTAAATCTCTGATATGGTTGTCGGACTAAGACAAGAGATCAAGAAGCATGATCAAGAGGTAGCGTTATTTTACTTCTTTTACCTTGACAGCTGGCAAAGAAGAACATCCTCTGCTGGAAGGAATTTTGTACCTATTGGAACAAATACCATCTTGCATAGTTTCTTATAACGCTGAATGTTACCAGGTGGGGTGCACCCTCAACATGGATAGGATTTCTGGTATTTTTTATCAAGATGTTTTCTTTTGAAATAAAATCTAGAGATTGAATAACTTGAATGTGAGTGATACAGTTTACTCCTACTATTCCATGAGACTTAAGTGGTATAGAAATATTTCTGAAGAAAGAAGAACCGCATTTACATATATTACCTAAATCTGACAAAATTCTGGAATATTGATAAATCAATCATCACTAAAAATTATTTCAGTGAACTTCAATGGAGATGCAGTATAAACACTATACTGCATACCTTGAATGATACAGTTCCTAAATACCAAATACATCTCATTAAAATTTTATAGTGCTGGATATGAAGGAAATCCTTGGTACTTACCACTTATGTTGCTCGGACTCTCCGAAAGTGTGGCCGGATACGTGTAGGATCCTCCAAAAGTAGTGCATTTTTGAAGGATCCGACACGGGTGCGGCTACATTTTGGAGAGTCCGCGCAACATAGCTTACCATAAGAAAACTGTTACTCTTGACAGTATCGCAGTAACAGCTTGGCACTCATAAATATGGCTAGGACTCTATCATAAATAACTTTCCAAATCAAGGTGGACAGAAATTCACATCACCACAGGACTACCATGAAAGAGCATATGATTTATTCCATAAAAATGCTGAATGAGCCAGCATATACAAAAGTATAATCCTGACATTGGGATACTTTACTCTGACATAAATATTTCAATCATCACGAACCTTTATGAAGGCTGCAGCATCTTCTTCTGCTGTGCCACCAATCTCACCAATAAGAACAATACCTGTCATACGACGGGCACTTATAATTAGATCGAATGATCCTAATCTCCCTTCAGGATAATGCATAGATCTTCTAACTTCCGTTTATCATCTAATTCTCAGTTCCATACTTTTTCTTTTTTGATAAGTGAGTCATTGTCAGTTCCTTATAAATGGAACAATAGGTAAAGGCAGCAGAGAAGTCTGGGAAAAGTAAAAAACATTCGCAACCCATCAAATTTTAATTAAGAAAAGATAGTAAAGTAAATGAATAATCCTAAGGTCTAACAACACTATGGAAAAGAAAAAGAAGTACCATTTCTAGAGACAATAAATGTGATAAAGGATTAAAAAGAGTTCTTTCCCTGGGTTGGGCGCTTGGTGATGGTCGTCAAGGTAAATAGTAAGAAAATTTTCTTCTTCCCGCAATCTGGGGCTGGCCCACCTCCATTTATAAAAGCCCTTTAGCAAATTTTCCCCTACAAAATCGTGTTGCTTACCGTACACTATTGCACTCTGGTTGTAACAGATGTTAAGTTTAATCAAGAAATCTGATAATTCTGGAAAATATAAGTAACCATCTTATTTTGTCATCTACTCTCTGCTAAGATATGCATATAACACTACCACACAGAAGAAAAACATGTCATTCCTGGCCATCATCTGTAATACTTGGATTAATTAATCCTTCAATAAGGTTTACCTTCTGTCTGTGGATCAGCAACAAATTTCTCTAAGCAATCAACAAAGTTTGTACCATTGAAAGGATCCCCACCAATCCCTACACAGGATGATTGCCCAAGGCCAACAGCAGTTGTTTGAAAAACCTGAAAAACAAATATCAAAAAGAATAGTTCAGGAAAAAAAATGCTTATAAAAAAGAGCATATATATACAGTAGATTACTATTCCCCAGGAAGATCAGATGATTCCCAATGTCATTTTCTAAGAGAAAAATGTCCAAATTATCTCACAAGCAGGGACTAGATTTTTTGAAACTGGATCGTTTTGACTTCTTTAGGTACCGCTTCCTACATTTTATTATCCCTTTGTCTTCCCAACATTCACAATGACAGGGCACATTTACACATAGAGAATTCAATGATGAGAACCTTAAATCTCATCAATGAGAAAACCATAGAAAACAAACAGATCGACCTCTGTCTGGTTAAAACATGCAATAACCGCATTTTATTTTATTTTTGATAAAGCATGCAATAACAGCATTATTGACTTGGAAAATTTATTTCAAGGACCGATGACTTCCTAGATATAGCCAGTCCTATTAACATTCCAACACATAAATGTTTAGTGAATAACATGGTCAAAGGGGAAAGGCACAGAAATACATCAAGTCTGCTGGACTTTATAAGCAAAGCGCCATAAAAGATCGTGCAGTTTCAGTAAAAAGCAGATTGAAAAAAGAAAAAAATGAGAAAAAAGTATATGTAAAACAAGAAAAATAACTACAAATACAAGCACTAATTATATGGACAAAATAATAGAGAAAAGCTGCAATGTGAAATATATGAAGTAAAAACAATATCATCCACTTAAATTTAAAAATTCAGATGCAAAGATACAGCTTTAATTTTTAATTCAGATTCAATGACTAGACATAACACATTCATTTCTTTATAACCAAGAAATCCATTGTTCCAACTTCGAAACTCCATGGTTAATGGTCCACCCCTCTACCCTTTTCCATTTAAATACCAAGAGCGTGTGCACTAGATAGGATTCAAACTCGTGAAGTGTGCCTAGCACACACATAAGCCAGGCAAAACACCTCGCTTCCATTGCACCAGATTCCAAGCTTAAGCGCACTTTTAACAATGTTAATATAGACACTTCAAACCGATAACCATCACTAAATATTAAAAGGTTTAAGATCATATTTATCAAGAGACTTACTTTTTCCCATAGAAATAATTGTAAAAGTAAGAGGAAAAAGAAACTCGAAATAAGGTTTTAACTTTTTAGCTAATAAACTACTGATAAAATTATGCCCTAGACATAAATGACACTGGATCTTTTCAGACCACCAAAACATCTTTAGCCAACTACATTTATTGTCCCCTCTAGTGATGGTGCCAAAAATTCAATCAAATAGAGTTTTTTGCCCCTCTAAATGGTGCCAAAAGTGATACTATTTCAAGACTTGGTTTTTCTTTTGCTGCAACAGTTAATGCACCCAACAACCCCTCTCTCTTTGAGAACCATAAAGGGAATCTGAATTCTCTCAATTCTTCTCTTCAAGGCACAGTCTTGCTAGATATACATTCAAAATTAAGCGGCAGAAACAACTCCATCAAGTGTTTAAACAATGACCTATTAGCACAATGTCTTCTAGAAGCAGCAATGAGACTGGGATTTATGGATCAATAATAGAACACCAAATAAAAATAATATCCTATTCATGTTTCACAAAGTTTGCATTCAGCTAGATTCTTTTAACATTTTAACCACAACTATGTTCTCTTGGCACCAGAAGAATTGCTCATAGATTCCCTACCACTCTCACAGCGACAGGTAGTGTCCCCCGTTCCCCTCTCAGCTTTAAAACCTTTTTTTTCTTTTGAATAAGGTATATAATTTTATTGATGTGGAAAAAGCTCCTGTATACAAGCATGAAGTAAAAAAGCTACACACAAAAAATGGCCACTATGGAAAACATCAATCTTTTGTCTAACGAGAACCTCATGTGTACACCAAAAATCACTAAAAACATGAAGCTGTTCCTATACCTTCAAGCGTTCGCATATTTCTCGCCTTCAAATCCTACGAGTGAGGGTTTTCGAAAACAGGTAGGATTTTAGAAAAAGCAAATATCTGAGAGATTCTTTATTTTTTGGAAATATGGCAGAATCTTCTAAGCCTCCAAATCTTTAGCGGCTCATCATGAATATGAGGGGTGCAACATAATACGTACAGTTTAGACAAGTTTAATAGACAATTTTTACAGAGAATAAATCTTACCGCTTCATATGTCAGCGTACCAGATCGAGAAACAATTCCGATACGTCCTGGTTTGTGAATGTATCCAGGCATAATACCGATTTTGCACTCTCCTGGTTTTATAATACCTGGACAATTCGGACCAATCAGCCGAGTTTTAGATTGCTTCTTGAGAGCTGCTTTTACACGAACCTGTAATTGCATGGGAAACCCAGGCAAAGAAAACAAGCCAGTGAGAGAATAACAGAGTGAAAAGACAAAAAGGTGCAAGCTCAATTAACAAGCTAATCCCAATTATAACATTTACTGAATCAACCCAAAAACAAAGGATCATAACCCCCAAAAACAATTTATATAACCCTGAAAATAAACTCATCTAAGGGATTATTACTTGCAATCAAATTAGCTTATTGTAATCTCCCTTTACTCGTATTTTCTTGTTGAGTCGAGCAGCTGGAAACTAGAATTTAAACCTTAAAGTTGAGCATTCAGTTCTGAGAAACCCTGTCCAATCTAGTTGTCAAGAACCCATCTTAATGCATTCAATACTTAGGACTGCAGCTTCAAAGCTAATCCAAGTAGTAGTGAAACAAATGTTATAAATGCCTTATGGCAAAAACATTCTTTACGTTTCTAAATGGACATTGAAAGGGATCAAACCCCTTTCACCATTTCATCTCCTGCATGATGAAGAAAAATATCGATGTTGCCCCTAATGACTATAATAATACATAAATCAACAAGAATGGCACCAATGTTTGACACATAAAATACACGAGCAAAATGACTAAAGCTGAACAAATAAAAATGACGAAGGGTGAACAAAAATGTTAACGTGAGATGTTCCTTTCCATTTTAACACAATTTCAGCCCATTTGCTCTTTTTTGGGGATCAGTCAGCCCATTTGCGCATCTTAACACATCCATCATGACAAAAAGTTTTAGATTTCAGCCTTCGTTGATAATCTTTGTTGTCAATCTTTAAAGTTGCTGCAGTTGTCTAGTTCCGCATTCTTAACCCCTTGTCACGCTTTGTAGATGAACAGTTTAGTTTTGGGCATTGTGTATTTACTATTTAGTCACCAGCAAAGAAATTATTCCTGCCTTCTATCTTCCTAAACTTCTTACATTTTGCTCATATATGGGTCTTTTCTTCCTCAGATAATTTATTCCTGAACTTCTTCTGGGCCTAAACTTATGAGCCAAATAAAAACTAAGAATGATCGAGCATAGACCTAAGTACAGTACGAACCTGATTAACCTCATGCCTGGTAGATCTATACTGAAGTCGCTATTCTTACTAAGATGGTGAAATTATATAGTGAGCGGGCAAAGGAGAAGGTTCATTAACCTAGAGAAAGTGTATGATAAGGTGCCTTTGGGATGTTGGCAAAAAAGACATACATACTAAAAAAGAAAAAAATACATATCAAATATATAAATGTCACAAAAAATATGTACTAAGGAGTTATTAGTAGTGTGAGAACAGTGGTGGGAGATACAAATAAGGTTCCCATATCCGTGAGTTTACACAAGAGATTGGCATTAGGCTAGTACTTGTTTCCCCTAGTTATGGATGAGGTAAATAACAACAAACAGGATTAAGTCCCATGGTTTATAGTATATGCGGAACATTAATGGCTCAATAGATACTATCCCCTCCAACTAGCACTAAAATTCCTTTCACAAAAATTTTCCTTCCGGCAACCTATTACACACTTTAACTTGAATCCGTAGTTAGGACCCTCTGAACGGTCTAAGACCACATCTTCCTAAGAAATGCATTACATGATCAATGCCAGAACGACAAACGCCATTGCATTAAAAGAACACTTCATCACTCCTAAGTCATTAGATACAATGAATGTTGGGCCACTAAGGTATCACCCTAAAAGACTCCTAAAAAGCATAGGACCTAAAGTAAACATAGTAACATGACTAGGTTATCAAAGAAATATATTAACATGACTAAAATATATTTTCAACTAATTGGTATCGCCTACATAAATGTTGTTCTTCCATTGTGCCCTATCTTTCGTTAAGTCTAGTGATTTCAAATGATTGTAAGTTTTTCAAGACAACTTCCTTCTATATAATATCGAGGCAGCTTCCTTTCCGAAGAGTGAAATGTAAAAAGAAGAAAAACTATGTATTACTGCATTGTGGTATATTTCTCCAAAAAGATTTTGTATGTCTCTAAATCATTGAATTGTAGATCTCCAAATTCTTGTGCAAGGGTAGAGTAGAATGCATTCACCAGCTCTAGTCTCCAGCTATAATTTAAAGACAATTCACTTATCTTCAATCAGAAAAAAAAAAGGAGAGTTCCAGTAGAATGGATTTGTATCTTACCATATCATGCTGAGGAATTCCCTCTGTGATGCAGACAACTAAGTCCAATTCAGCCTCCATGGCCTCCATAATAGCTGCTGCAGCAAATGGTGGAGGAACATAGACCACTGAAGCATTAGCTTTTGTTTCTGCTTTTGCCTCTGCAACAGTATTGAAAACAGGAAGCCCCAAATGTTCTGTACCACCCTTTTTGGGTGTCACTCCACCAACCTATTTAAGCACAGGAAAGACAAAATGAGCACTAGAGAACTATCTCTTTCCAAAGTCTCTAAAAAGAGAGTGAGAAGACTGGGGGGAGGGGGGCGGATATCCATTATGATTAAACAACAAACTTTCCAAATAATTTCATTAAAGAACGAACTGTCTACAATAGGCGCAGATCATACAAAAAAAATCACATTTTCTTCATGGGATAGAAATCAATAAGGAGCTCAATAATAGAAAGGAATTTAAATACTTGCTCAAATGACATCAATCTGAAGGCTGCAAATAATACCAACTAACTTAAACAAGTTAGCAGCATTACTAACAGTGACAATCCCAAGGAAACATTAGAAAACAAAAACGAAGAGAAGAACTTGAAGACACAAGGAGTTTAAAACATCATAAGAACTTTTGTTTTGGATAACGATGGTGTTTGGGCCAACTTGCGCGCACTTTGACTATTTAACTGGACACCTATTACCTCCCACCAGCAGAGGTACCGAGTAATTCTGCCTACCAAGGCTTAAGCAGATGAAAAGAAATCACTCAGCATCTTTTGACTCTACTGGGATATGAGTCCTAGTCTCCCATGGTTTTCATCTCACTTAATTGACAATTAGGCTATTCATTAACCACTAGGTCACACCCTTAGATGTGCATCATACATGAACTTTTGATATGAGTATGAGTGAAAGAACTATGATGCTTACAATACGAATCATTTCCAAAGGAAGAAAGCACTATTATAGACATCCTTAAAGAACTGCTAACAAATAAGCCAGAAGAAAGGGCTAAGCTAACACTATTATGGCTAGGCTGTCTATCACAAGAATGTGCCAGAAAGGATGACATGAGATGCAACTGCTTATTGGAAAACTAATCCTCGGAACAGATTGGGACGTCTCAAGGATAATCTCTAATAATCATACGCCTTATGCAACTTTTTGAAAGAGCTTCAACTTGGAAAACGTTTTGCTTTTGGCTGTCCGCGTTTCTGCATTTCCCTAATGCGAGCGTAGCACCTAAAAGTGCTTTCAAATGAAATATTCAGACATTATCAGTAACCTAAGCAGGTATAACATTAATGGACTCTAATGTGCACATAAGAAATAGACAATGTTAAAAAACAACTTGTTTCATCTTGAAAGAAAAAACAGAATCAATTGACTGAAATTGTAGCATTATCCACACAAAATCACAGTTTAACAGAATTATACAATTAATATTTAATACTACACTCGGTGGAATGAAAGAGAGCTCAGTCTTAAGATACTTTATCCAATATAGGATCTTGTCAATATCCCAAGGTCAAATAGTTGCAGGTATCTTCCCAGTGAATTATATGACCATATAAATTGAAAGACATTGAAGTTGATATAACAATTCCCATTTCAGTAAAATATAACTCCAGACTACTGTAGTCCAGGAATCCAGACTTTACAAGGTTGCCGACCCCAGATAGTGAGAACTTTAAACAAACGAACCAGCAGCCACTTGTACATCAATATTGAAAGAGACTTGACCATCATGACTGAGGATAAGATAAAAACTACTTACATGATCCTTTAAATATAAACTGAAGAATAATTACTGAAATTTTAGATCATTCTCAAATGTAACTAAGAAAAAGGTCATATTCTATTCAATTTTCCAAAAAAAAATGATAAGGCTTATCTGAAGCATGAACAAGCAGTAAACCAAGTTCAACTAATCATCAGCAATATGAGATCCGTTATGCCCTCATTTGATAGAACAGTGGGTGCGTGAGATCGTCAAAATTGGACTTCAAAGAAATTCGAAACAGTAAATCATATTTCTTCATTTCACTATTATGTCCTCTTACATGGATCAAAAAAGGAATAACAAAAACGTCATGTTACCCAGCATGTAGCAGGTGCGGGTACACCCGCTGCTTTCAGCTCAAACTATAAATATATAACTGAGTTTCTGTAAAAACATAGTATAAAATTATACTAAAATTGTGATGTTATGGTACTAATGCATTCACTGGTCTAAAATTTAAGATCCACCTCTGTTACACAAACAAAACTGTAATGTGTAGACACGTTACAGATAAAATGAAAGAGGGGAGGAGTACCATTTTGGTGCCATATTCAATGGCCTGTTCGGTATGGAAAGTTCCGTTCTTGCCGGTGATGCCTTGACAGATGACACGTGTGTTCTTATCAACGAATACAGCCGGCGGAGGCAGTGGCGATCCAAAGAATCTGTACTGCTGCCACAAGGACGAAGATGCAGAGGGTGTGGGGCTGCTAGAGTTCAGCTTTGTTGACAGATTTGCAATCACTCTGGTGGCTTGGCGAGCCATGGATGCTCTTACTTGTAAACCTTCTCTTTTCTGCGATTTACGGTGGCGTTTTTTGGTGGCGTTCTGTATATGTAATGGAGCGGCAAAAGTAGTGAAAGTCTTCTCAATCGGAAAAGTTGAACTTGAAAAGGCGACCGAGGAATATTCTTCGGGGCGAAAGTGATGGGTCTCACTTGTCACCCAATTTCGAATCGGGTCTTGCCTTTGTTTCCTTGATTGAGCCCTTTTTTGTTTGCTATGATAATAGACGTACTGACGCGTCACATATATCCAGGAGAGGCATCGTGGTGCATGATATTTGCACATGATATTGTATTTAATGATGAAACGGTGTCAACATGCAATTAGAGGTACGAAGGCAAGACTTTGGAATCTAAAGGTTTCAAGTTGAACAGTACCAAGACTGAATACTTGGAGTGTAAGTTCAGTGGTGAAACTCTGGGAGGGGAAGGGAAGGTGAGGCTCGACTCGCACGTCATCCTAGGAGACAAAGTTTTAAGTACCTTGAGTCTATTATTCAGGGGATGGGGAGATTGATGAAGATGTCACACATCGTATTGGGGCGGGATGGATGAAATAGAGACTCGCTTCCGGTGTGTGTTTTGTGTGACAAGAAGGTGTCACCAAAACTTAAGGGTAAGTTCTACAGAGTGGTGGTCAGACCAATGATGTTGTATAGGGCTGAGTGTTGGCCAGTCAAGATCGTTCATGTCCAGAAGATGAAAGTAACAGAGATGATGATGTTGAGATGGATGTGCGAGCACACCAGGTTAGATAGGATCAGAAATGAGGTTATTCGCAACAACGTAAGTGAGGCCCCTATTGAGGACAAGATGCGCTAAGCACGGGTTAGGTGGTTTGGTCATGTGAGGAGGAGGAGCACAGACGCCCTGGTGAGGATGTGTGAGAGGTTGATATTGGAGGGCCTACGGAGAGGTAGAGGTAGGCCAAAGAAGAGGTGGAGAGAGGTGATTAGGCAAGACATGACGCAATTTCAGTTGACCGAGGATATGACCCTTATAGGAAGGTATGGAGGTCGAGGATTAGGGTAGTAGAGTAAGTAGTCTAGAGTGTTCATAACAGTAGTATTGACACGTAGTCTCGCTTTCTGTTGGTAGTAGGTTTTTATGACTAACTGTTGTTTGCTTTCATTGTTGATCACCTTACTATCTTGTTATTATTCTACTTTTATATGGTTTTTTCGTACTGTCCCTTCTTGGCTATATTTTCATTAATGTGATGCTTATGACTTCCTGAGCCGAGGGTTTATTGGAGACATTCTCTTTATTCTCACAAGGTAAGGGTAAGGTCTACGTACACACTACCCTCCCAGACCCCACAGTGTAGGATAATATTGGTTATGTTGTTGTTGTATTGATGCTTCCCAAAAGATAAAAATATAAAAACAAAAAAAAACGAATGTATTATGGTTTTAGTAATATTGTAATTAGTTATGTTAGAATTATTTGTTATCTGATTGTTTGATTTGATGTATTTAAAAAAATATGCATTGCATCATTTTATTTGTTTACAAAAAAACTCTTCGCAAACTTGAAAAAATACTGGAAAGGATTTTAGAAAAGGTTTTTGAAAGGGCAGTTTTGATTTTATACATGCTTATCCATGTGCTATAAATTATGGTATTGTTAATGTCATAGTTTACTGTGTATAAGAATAGTACTGAATATGGTTGATCACGCCCAACTATGCCTTATAAAAAGTACAATGTGGTCGTTGCAAATATAACCCGGTTTACAAGTCCGGAGTCGAATCCCACAGAGAACTAAGACTTAGCTACAGCTGTTCACTATCACCAAGAAGACAAGCTTGAACAGTTCCTAACTTATAGATATTTAGATTCTTGTGTTTAACTAATTGATTAACAAATTAAAATAATAAATTAACAACTAAAGATACTAAGAGTTAGAGACAAGATTAAGGAGGTCTAGAGTTATGATTTCCCCAATTGTCGGAATCCTTCCCGCTATGTCTTCTATAATTTCGCCTAAGTATTCTCTACCGATCATGAGCACTCTTATTACCGTAAATCTCTCCCGAGTAATCACGACAATTTACTAGACGCACTCTCCCGAGCTACGCTAGCTGGCTTTTGATACAGCTCACTTCAGATCGCACCCAAGGCTTCGTTATCCCTAATCCCGCCTTTAAACCCTCGGTTATTGATCCCTCATATACTCTGGGAGTGGTGTTGTTCAACAATTACCTAAATATGCACTCTCTCCCGAGTTATGCATACTAAATAGGCACAGCTAATTGAGAGCTCTTCAATTAACTACAATAAGAACGTAGTTGAACAAATAGAGATTATACTACGGCTCAATTATATAAAAACATAACAAGAATTTATCCTACAAAAGGTTCTATCAAAACTCTAGATAACAAATTAGCTATTCATAATAGTATGTAAAACTACAATACTAAAAGTCATAACCAACAATGAAAAATAGGAAGAGGAAAGAAAAAACTTGTAGAAGAATTCCCAAGCCTTGCTCCTATTGTGTCTCTGCCTCCTTAGGTCAAACCTATGTAAAAAATATGTCCAATCCTTTTCTTGGCTGGCTTCCTTGGTTTAATATAGGGTTTAGGGCTTAAAATCCTGTGTTTTTCACCTTGATCCCTGAAATTTACGCATCCTGCCGCGGTTCCACCGCGGTCACGCCGGAACCGCGGCCAAACACCATCTCAGATTCTTCAGTTGTCCGCGACTGCCCTCTGCCGTGGTTATGCCGCGGTCGCGGTTTTTGACCCTGTTTAGTTTGTAATTTGGAAAAATGTAAAACATGAAAGTTGTATCCCTTTGAGTTAACTTTCCAACCATATATTGTGGAGCCCAAATGGAGTTCTGAGTAAAACGTTATGTCTATTTTACTAGACAGTGCACAATATGCCTCTTCGAGCTTTCGTTTTGTTGTTTTATCATTCGTTGATCCCCGAACGCGATCCCGGCTTAATTCCTTGAGCTCTTACTCAGACTTCAAAGCTCCAAACCACTTAAATTTATTCCATAACATCTATATAGCTCGGAATCACACCTACACGGCATAAAACACACAATTAGTGCAAAACACTAGCGATTAAAGCGCAAACTCAACTAAAGTGCAATAAATTAGAGTGTAATAATTGACTAAAATTAATACAAGTTATTTGTTATAATAGGTTATAAAACACTACCAAACAAGAGATTAATAATACCATAGCTAATACAAATATTAATTTTTCTCCCCTAAGGTCTTTGACTACAAGTCTAAAAAGATTACTCCTTTAGCTCATCTAGATGCTAGAATAATGTTTACTCAAAGCAAAAAGGGGCAGAATTCACAAAAATTCTCCAAAATTTGGCTTGGATTATTAATTCTCTTTAAATTATGTGAAATCCTTGTGAGAAATAACACACCGAAAAACTATATTATTGATGTGTTTTAACTATAATACAAGGACCCCTATTTATACCAATACATAATACATACATCACTCCTATTCCATATAGGACTATGACTATTTACATGAACTTACTCTAACACTCCCCCTCAAGATGATGCATATAAATTAAATGTACCGAGCTTGTTACATATATAACTAATACGAGAACCAGTGAGGGACTTGGTAAAAATATCTGCAAGTTGATCATTTGATTTTACAAACTTTGTAACAATATCTCCTGAGAGAATCTTTTCTTTAATGAAGTGACAGCCAATCTCAATGTGTTTAGTCCTCTCATAGAACATTAAATTTGATGCAATATAAAGGGTATCTTGATTATCACATACAAGTTCCATTTGGCTGATTTTTTTTAAATTTTAACTTTTTGAGCAACTGTTTGATCCAAACTAGCTCACATATTACCATAGCCATCGCTTGATATTCTATTTCTATATTATATCGAGTAACTACATTCTGTTTCTTGCTTTTCCAAGAGACCAAATTACCTCATATAAAACACAATATCCAGATGTGAAATGTCCATCAGAAGGTGATCCTGCCCAATCAGCATCTATGTATCTAACAATATGCTCATGACTTCGATCCTCGAATAGCAGTCATTTGCTTGGAGCTGATTCTATATATTGAAGAATGCGAATAACTGCATTCCAATGACTATTGCAGGGAGAGTCCATAAACTGACTTACAACACTCACAGAAAATGAAATGTTAGGTCTAATCACAATGAGGTAATTCAATTTTCCAACCAGCCGCCTATATCATGCATGATCGCTAATAGGCTCCCCATGTCCTGATAGAAATTTAGCATTTGGATTAATATGAGTGCCAACAGGTCTGCAACCGATCATTCATGTCTCTTCAATACTGTCTAAAGCAAATTTTCTTCGTGAAATAACAATACCTGAGCTAGACTGAGCAACCTCAATACCTAGAAAGTACTTCAATCTGCCTAGATCCTTAGTTTGGAAGTGTTGAAAGAGATGTTGCTTCAAATTAGTAATACCATCATGATCATTGCTAGTGATAACAATATCACCAACATAAACCACCAGATAACCAGATTAGGAGCAGAATGCCGATAAAATACTGAGTGATCAGCTTCAATACGAGTCATGCCGAGCTTCTGAATAACTATGCTGAACTTTCCAAACTAGGCTCGAGGAGATTATTTCTAACCATAAAGTTACATGTGTAAACGACATACAAGACCACTAGACTCCCTCTGAGCAATAAAATTAGGTGGTTGTTATATATAAACTTCATCCTCAAGATCATCGTAGAGAACGACATTCTTAATGTCCACTGATAAAGAGGCTAATGACGAACAACAACCATGGACAGAAAAAGATGAACATATGCGACTTTATTCATGGGAGAGAAGATGTCACTATAATCAAGCTCAAATATCTAAGTATGACCTTTTGCATCCAGACAAGCTTTAAGCCGATCAACCTAGCCATCCGAACCAACTTTGACAGCATAAACCCAACGACAACCAACAGTAGACGTACCTGAAGGAAGAGGAACAAGCTCCCAAGTACCACTCGCATGTAAAGCATACATCTCGTTAATCATTGTCTGTTGCCATCATGGATGAGATAGTGCCTCACCTACATACTTAGGAATGAAAACAATGGACAAAGATGATAAAAAATTATAATGGGAATATGACAGACGGTGATAACTTAAACCAAAATAATGGAGGTTAGGATTAAGTGTGGATAATACACCTTTCCGAAG